AAGTCAGAGTATGAGGAGAAATATAAAACCACATGGAGAAAACGAAGTACACCAGCATGCACTGGAAAATACATTGTATTTAAAGCATATCTCAGGTGCCATCATAATATTAGACAGAAGTAAGTAGAATACTAGTGGTATTAATTTTAGTAGCCACATCACCATTTTAGGTGTTTATTATATTTCTTATTATATTCCTTAATTCCATTTTGGATGTAACAGTTGATAACTGAACTGAAAATTTCCCAGGGATTCAAAGGAATTTTTTTTAAAACTTAACTTAATAGAATCAATTTTCCGTTAACTCTTTTGAAGTCTCTGAAACAAACTTTTCAGCCAGCCTGTGCAAATATGAATAAAGTAAATTACCAATTCTATTTATCAAAATGTAGCAAGTACACCTGCAAGACACATGACTATATAATAGTAAAGATATTCCATGTAATTTGGAAAATGGACACAATATGTACTTTCCGTTTTTACTTGAAGCCTCCGAAATGCCTTGAAAACTGAATAATTTGTAAGTCTGTTATTTAACATGCCATTACTGTGTTTTCCAATATCTAACAATTTAACAATCTATAAGTCAAACAGTTTTTCTATGTCATTTTGTATTCGAATTAGGTAAGTGCAACTATATACTTATTATTTGTTTATAAACAACAATTTGTTTTATAAATAAAAAGTATAAAATAACAAACTTTCCATACTATTTTGTATTTAGGTGGTTCTAGCTTTTACATTAGAAAAAACACTGGCTATTCTTCCAAAATGCAGTGGTGCATGTTTTTGACTGTTTTTCATTTTATTTAAAAACTAAAATGCAGGGCAGAATATGGGACCCCGATAGCCCTGTGCCAGTGAATCTGATTATTAGCACACAATGTAAATAGTAATTATGAAGTTCAGGAATTATTCTCCTAAATTTTCCCTGTACCAGTGAATCTGAAAATTATAACCAGACAATTAATTATGATGTTCAGGAATTATCTCCCCAAGAAAAATAATCTTAAAAACAATTCTTTTAATTTGACCTGCTCAATTTGAATCTAGATTACTATTAGTAGTAGTAAAAAATAGTATTTACTATTTACAGTTACCATAGAGGAAGATCACCATAGTTCTTCCCCAATCCAGCAAGAAACTACAGTCACTGGTACTGCTACTTACTTCTAGTAGTAGCAGTAGGCCTATTAGTAGTAATAGCCAAACAAAGAATTGACGTGCGGCTCAGAATGGAGAAGACATGACAGACGAATACATGGAGTGGGGATTAAATTGGCGAAAGCTAAAATAAGCAAATGCGAAAAACAAGAGTTGAAATTAAAAGAAGAAGTAGAAGTGTTGAGATTGCAACAGCAAAAGCTGCAATTGGATATTGCAATTTTAATGACACAAGTACTAGTCCAGCAAACTTTGGTTGGTTGCATTTTTTTTGCTATATTTTAAAAAAATTGGATATGATGTAGAGTAGACATAGATAAATCAAAAAAGACATATATATATATATATATATATATGTATATCAGATATATTATGGTAATAACCATTAACAGCATATGGCAATTGCATATAACTAGCTCTATCACACGTTTTTGTTTTACAGTACAGATCGGTTATTATTATATTAATATATATGCTAAAAAGCTAAAATAATGGAAAATGGCAGCCATTTTAAATTGTAATAGCTCAAAAATGTGTACAATATTTAGTTAACTGTTGTTATCATTGTTATGAGTGAATTTCCAATTGAATGCTGCATTTTAATGACATAAACTTACAATATTAGTGGCAATTTTAGGAAAAAATGGCGGCCATTTTGAAACTGCTGGCAACCCCCCTTACGTATGAAAAAAAAAATGTTGCACATACTTTTTTGATTTTTCAATGTCTACTCTACATAATATCCAATTTTTTAAAAATATAGCAAAAAAAATGCAACCTCTGATATTGCAACATTTCGGACTGGACTATACACTTGATTAATGAGCAATGAATCCACACTGCAAATCCAATTTTCGAAATACTGTACTATCAATTTTTAAAAAGTTAAACATTATTCATATTTATTAATTTGTAAACATTTCTTATGCACATAACGATAATGTTTTAATGTACGACGAACGAATTTAGGCCTAATGTTATTTTAATTTAAACATATTATTCAGTAACTATATTTAACAGCTATTATATCCTTTAATTTAATTTAATGTAATATGATGCTGTAATTAATAATATTCGTCAAAACATTAAAATAAAATACAGGGTATAACAGTTTATAAAATTGGTGTAATTCTTTTAGTACAATATTCATCATCTCAAAGCCTATGCAATCATATTTCAAACGATTCTACCATCAGCTGCCATGGGTCCATTGTACACTTCCTCAACTTGATATTGCTGTTCGTTTATCTCCTCTTCTATATCTGGCAGTTTCAGGTCCCTGGATATGTTGTGCAGCACCACTGTGGCAGCAGTTACTGCACAAATCCTCTGTGGAGACATTCGATTTTCCTCATGCATGCACCTGAATCTTCCAACACCCGATCGTTCTTTCGATTATGCTTCTGGTTACTGCATGTATCCTCTTGTAACGACATTGTTCTGGTGTGTTAGGATTGAAGTATGGGGTTTAGTAAAAATGATCTCAATGCATACCCCTTGTCTCCGATCAAATGCCTGTCGACTTCTCTTTTCGAATACTGCGCATAATTCGGAGGGGAAATGACATCAAACAACTTGAATACATATTGAAAATACACCAAACATCATAATAATGTACAGTTTTTGTATATAACTGAGCAGTATTATCTTTATCTCCAGACACTGAGCTATTAAATGTAACAAACTTTTGAGCTAGGCCTGGCCTAATCATATATAGTGTACACTAGGGCCTACAAAATATTCTCTCAAGAGATGTCATCTCAAAGTAAACAAAAAGAGATGCGTAAAAGACTCATAATTTAACCAAGCCAGATCAAAGCCTAGCCGGCTTTCCTGCTTAGGCTCAGAATCTAGGCCTAATTAGATAGGCTAGGCTAGTCTAGAGAGGCGAGGGCCTCTCTATCGAAAGTAGGACTAGGTCGTAGCCAAGGCTAGACGTCTAGCAGTAGGCCTCGATACTAGGCAATTTATATTTACGACAACCGATATACTTATTATTAAGGCTAGCTCACTTGCGATAAGGCAGATAGTAAAACAAACCTCTTCTCTTATCTCCATATTAACAACCCCCTGATATCTTATGCATATGCATAATTATGAAAGCAAACTGAATTTTCAATAGACCGAATTAGCGACGAAAGATGATGTCATCACAATTTGGCCGAGTGTATAAAATTGTAAACAAAGCCTAAAAGTACTATTTTATAACGTTACAAGTTTTTGTATGGTCCAGGAAAACGACCGGGTAAAATACTTTTTAAAACATTGGTAGGTTAAGGAAGGTTCATAGAACCTTCAGAAGACGTTCGATTTGATTTTCATGTAAAATTAAGTTAAATATACATAGAGTTTTTACAGGCTAGGCCTCGGCCTCTGACACTTGTTGTACGACAACGCAACATGGCTGGATGTGATGATTGAGTGATGCCTGACTGTAAATGTTCAGCTCCATGCTGTCGTCAAGTCTTTTACTTGTTTAAACACCCAGTCTGCCAAAGTTATTGGTGTGAATTTAGGAACATTATTCAATAATTTTGAATAACTTAACTCTCCTTGAAATCTGCAAGTACAACACATTTCATGAGTTTTGCAACAAGCACATTCATCGACCGATGCCATGATTCATTGTGAGTGAATACACGGCTGCCATCGTCGTGCTGTAACACAGGCAGACACGACCGATGTACGTTTTATTCCCAAAATAGTATGATTTATTCTCGTTATATTTCACTTTTGGCGTACACAATTGTAGAGAAAAGATGATGTTACATTCATAAACATGTAACAATGGTTTCTGTAAATTTAAATCACGCTCAACTTTACACACAAAGCATGTATGAGACGTTTTAGTAAAGGCTATTTTCTTAAATTACTGTGTAAATCGCCTATCTTCGTGCGTTTGTTTTGGTTCGAATACCCACTATAGCTGAACAGTGTCGATCGCTAATTCAGTCTATTTGCTTTCTTCCAACTGTCGCAACACAACAGCCATGAGAATTTTTCGAACTAATTTACCTTTTAATTAACGAAACTGATTGATTTTCGTTAGATTTTTGGATCAAAAGTGAATAACTTTCCTAAAGCAACAAAATGGCCAATTCAAAGTGTAATTTTGTAAACCTTCATTTTTTGAAGGGACAGTACAACTTTAAATTGTAAAAAGTGATAACAATAAGTGTTTGTAATAAATTACCATTCCTTGCCTTATTTTAACATATTTAATACATAGAACATTCTAGAATAACAATAAACATGTTTAACCACATTGGTAATTATAGGAACACATGACACCATATAGAATCCAAGAGTAATATTTGGAAGTTATTATGATGTAAGGTAACCAATGGGGAACTTAGGCAATATAGAATGCTCTTGAATGCTCTGGAGTTGTACAGCTAGGTTATTTCAGGAAACAGTGAAATTTCACTGTTCCCTGGTTATATTAACTGAAAACAACATTAGTAGATTTTAGAAAACACCTAAATAGATCCTTGTCATTCCATTGGTTGATTTCTTATCATGTGACATTGGTTATTTACACGATTTCGTCACTTTTTCGTCACTGAAAATTTAGTTCCATCTGTGCAATCTTTTGTCCCATTTGTTTTGTCCCATTGCACACCTCCACCTACTACAATTTTTCATTGGTTGAAAGAATTTGGACTGTTCTTCTATTGATTGGAAGAAAGGTAAGCCTAACTTCATTTTCCATAAAAGAAGAATATATTTTAAGGGGTGGTTAAAACAAATAACGTTTTTTATTCATGCAATGGGAAGAATTAACTGTTTCATTCAACTCATGAAAATATTCTTCCCATTGCACTCATAAACATTCATTATTTGTGGAACAGTAGATTACCTCTACCGGCCTTGATGTCCTGTTCCTTGGCTGCCAAAGTTAGGGCAAGGTGCTCATACACATTATGGGCCACATCTTTTATCTCCTGTTGCACAGCCGATGTAGCTGAATGAATGCCCTCCTAAGAAATTAATAATCAAACAACAGTTAACAGGCCAAAGTTAACAAGCCAACAGTTAATAAGCCAACAGTTAATAAACCAACAGTTAAAAAGCTAACAGTTAAACAAGCTAACAGTTAAACAAGCCCAATTAACAAGCCAACAGCTAACAAGCCAACAATAACAAACCAACAATAACAAGCCAACAATAACAAGCCAACAATAACAAGCTATAGATAAATTGTGGGTGGAGCCTATGATGATATAATGTACAACAAAGATTGTTAATTATGTTTCAAGACACCAAATGAGCGATACAAATTTTTGATTACATATAATGCTCAGGTAAAACAGCCTGGTTATTCCTCATGATTCACTTGGTTTAACTTCTGTCTCTTATACACATCTAGATGTGTATAAGAGACAGTCATAGAACCTTCAGAAGACGTTCGATTTGATTTTCATGTAAAATTAAGTTAAATATACATAGAGTTTTTACAGGCTAGGCCTCGGCCTCTGACACTTGTTGTACGACAACGCAACATGGCTGGATGTGATGATTGAGTGATGCCTGACTGTAAATGTTCAGCTCCATGCTGTCGTCAAGTCTTTTACTTGTTTAAACACCCAGTCTGCCAAAGTTATTGGTGTGAATTTAGGAACATTATTCAATAATTTTGAATAACTTAACTCTCCTTGAAATCTGCAAGTACAACACATTTCATGAGTTTTGCAACAAGAACCACTAATAAACTGTAAATACACCGTGCTGAGAAGGGGCATGGAACTGAAAGTAGGGGTTGTGCTGCTAAATAAGCCAGGCAGAACATCCTTGGCTTTGGGGCTTTCTCCACCATGAAGCAGTGCATATATTTGATGTAGGGAATCCAGGCGAATCTATTAAGAAAATAAATAGTAAAAAAACCTACATAACTGACTATGGCCTGATCATTAGACAATACAAATAATGACCATGATTATCAAGTTATTTTTTTCTTCTGTGACATAACCACCATCTTTATTCAAAGAATCATCATTAAAAAGAACTAATCAAAGTAATACAGTACAATATTTCTTTCTATTTCAAAGTTTTGTTTTACTTTTTTTTATTACCTTTGTGTATTATTTATACCAGTTTTTAATATACTTTATACTTTTTATATATCTATATAATTTTATAACAATAGTATTACTATCTAATTGTTATCATTATTTTTTATAAATCTTTTTTTAACAACAAAACATAAACCTTTCAACTTGTGATATTAATTTTGGAATAAAATATAATTTAAAATGGTTAATAGAATAATTTAAAAATTTTTTATATCACATCACATATTATTATGTTATAACATACTTTACTTAATATAATCTTCATAAAATGAAAGAAATACTATGTTGTGTTTTTTGGGGTTTTTTTTTAATAATTCATCTTTTTTTTCAAGTTCTCATTACATTACCTTTTTTCTCACTTTAGAGGGATTTTAAACACTTTTATTACTTTATCTGTTGCTTTTCTAATTTTGTAATAAAGATTTTCTTGAAGTATGATATCAACATACTTTTATCAATATCATTACTATTTCCACTAATAGTAGTAGCTTACTTCTAAGTAAATTCTTGTCGAGCGTCAGGGCTCATATGGGCTGTTTGCCAGCTGTAGTCTTAGCAGTAGTTTTATTATAATGATAAACATAATGATGATGATGATGATGATAACGATGATGACGATGACGATGATGATGACGATAATGATGATAAAATTAAGATGACAAAATAATGTACAGTCTTACACAAAATATAATGACAATTAGACCAATATGCTCTTTCAATCTAATTAAACACAAATAGGACAGATACTTGACTCATTGGGGGAGTCTTTCATAATAGTGAAGTTTAATTTCAGCTCATTGGTCTTTAAAGACAGACATTTATTTACCTCAATTCTAATTGAGTTAAAAACAATACAGCAGTAATAGTTTACCTCAGCCCTACTTTGTTGCCTTTGCATGGCTGTAATAATGAGCTTTGGGTCAGTGCAGGATCCCTCTTCCTCTATCTTAGCTGATGATGATAGCTCACTGCACACAAACTCAAAGACTTCAGCACACATTTGCAAGACTGAGAGTGAAAAATAGAAAGACATGAGCCAATAACAGAGAAGCACTGTCAATAATACAGCAGATCATTTATATAGTAAAAAATCTAATCAGGAGAATAATAAGAGATAGGTTTGATAGTAATTGTTATTGTCGTGATGGAATAGACAATAACTGGATTTGCGTCAGGAGAAACGTATAGGTGTAATTTTGCCCTACCTGACATGGAAATGTACTGAATACTCAGTACGTTTGAAAACAATTACAAAAAAATCGCAAATTGTTCTCGGGTGGGACTCAAACCCACGATCTCCAGATCACTAGCCTGGCATCATACCTCTAGACCACCGAGCTTGCGCCTGATGGCCAGAGTTGAGTTCGAGTCCAAGTAAGCAGCGGGTACTGCAGTGTTGATAGTACAGTAATTGTTATTATCATGATTGAACAGACAATAACTGGATTTGCGCCAGGAGAAACACGTATAGGTGTAATTTTGCCCTACCCGACGTGGAAATGTACTGAATACTCAGTACATTTGAAAACAATTGCGAAGTTGTTCTCGGGTGATTTCGAACATTCATAGGAACAGTAGCAAACAATCGGATTTTGCACCAAATAGACATCGAAAGTAGAAAATGGGATTTCTAATAAGCATGGCTGGATTTACTATTAAACCCTCAAACACCACATTTCTTACCTTAATAATTTCAAAGAGAGTGTGAACGCAATTCAGTTAATAACTGCAAATGTTCTTTATCTTTTGCCACTCCAAAAATATGGAACTTTCTACCTCACAAAAATCGAACAACTTCTGATGTACTCAAGACCCTCCTTAAAACTTACCTCTTTAATTAATAAATCTTATTGTATCTCTAAGGGACAGTGACAAATAATATTTTTCTAACAGCAGCCATACAAATTCTCCAATTTATTATTATTATTATTATCAATATTATAATTAAAAGATTTATCCAGTAATATTACATACTTAGCTGTAACTGCTCGATTTCAGTATTTTTGGATTCATCCTGTTTTTTACTTTTTTCTGATTCGTATTTTTGTCGGCTGTGGTCACTCTTAGAAACTGACGGCTTAATTAATAAAATACAATAGGAAATTTAGTAATGATGGTAACAAAAATGATAGCAATCATGCTGACATGATGGCGAGTCGAATGGCTGAGTGGTTAGCAGCGGCACCGCAAGTTATAGCAATAATATCAGTGCTGGTTCAAACGGCACGCTCACCTATGGTTCTGGTGGTAGAACAAGTCTTCTCGGATAAGGACTATAAACCGTAGGCCCAGTGTATACAATGGCTTGTGTGCTCTATAAAGAACCCAGTACATCCTTCAAGACGAGCAGGGGGATAGTCTTCTCGGATAAGGACTACAAACCGTAGGCCCAGTGTATACAATGGCTCTTGTGCACTATAAAGAACCCAGTACATCCTTCGAGACGAGTAGGGGGACACCCCGGTGTACTGGAACAGACAGCCCCTGTGGTGGACGACGAGAGTTGCTGGTACCGGATTACCAGGTAGCACAGACACGAAAAGACCCTTATACCCGATTCACACGTACAAAAATCTTACCAAATGTAACAAAATGTAACCAAAAGTAACACTTTACGGCACGTGTGAAAGTACCTCCGTGTAATATCCTTGTAAAATCTCGGAACGTCTCGGTAATCTGTAGAGGTAATCCCGAGATGTAGCATGGATGGATCTGCGCATGCGCAGGGATTTCAACACAACACAACAATCTACTGTGTTTCACGGGGTTCTTTGAATTTTCTTCCTTCTGCAGACGATTCTGATCCACTAAAAATAGATAGGCCTAGTTTTTCTCAATGATGAATGCATTACCCTTGTTATTGATGTTAATTAGTAATGGTAGAAGAAGAAGATATACATAAAATGAACGTCGGGATGGTGTTAGTACTATTACTAGTATTATCAAGAGTCGACAGAAACGTTGGAAGTTATGCCTAGTTTTGTAGTAGTAGTAGTGCAGTAGTTTACAGCAGTTGTTAAGGGCATTGATTGCTTCGATTGTTTACAGTGATGGTGAGTTCGACAGTCCATCTGTGACAGGGGTTCTCAACTAGGCCTAGGCTAGACCTATATCGCAGTAGGGAAAAAATGATTCATTGAATAAACACGAGTAAATTTTACACGACCTTGACATTACCTTACAGACGCGTGTGAATGCTTTTTATCACGGTAGGAATAACTCGGGAGATCGCTCGGTTACAATTTGTTACTTTTTGTTAAATTTAATTTCACATGTGAATCGAGTATTAGGGGCAAAGAAATTCATTGATCGAGTTCCTAGTCCACATTCCAAGCGCCCTGAGCATCTTACATTAGATGGATATGTGCGCTATATAAAACTACACTATTATTATTATTATTTGACATTACTGAAATAATAAACAATAAAAATAAAAACAACAATACAAACAATAATGATAAAGATGATCATAAAGATAATGATAATAATGATAGTGATATGATGCTGCTGTTGCTGCTGATGATGGATAATATTCATGACTAAACCTTGCATATCATATCATTGAACATATTATATGGATACTCGGCACTATACAAGTTTTGTGTTGATTGATTGATATTCCACTTCACTTGACCCATCTCAGATTTGTTCCTCCACTGTCAAAACAGTTGCTTGACCAATTTTTAAAATATTCAGATGTATTAATGTGGTTTTTCTTTTTTTTTGTGAAGTGTTTTTTTTTTTGTGAATTTCTTATGAACTTGTGATTGTTTAAGCGAATATTGGCCCATGGTGGCTTTTAGGGCAATAAAACAAATTGAATTGAATAACATTAATAATAATCATAAATGCATTGTTTAATAATATCATTTCATTATATAATCTAATCTAATTTTAATTAACTTTGCAGATAGAATTTTCAGTGACAACTGAGAAAAAAAAATCAATGTGTTGCTTTAAAACGAACCAATGGATGCTCATTATTTTCATCGTAGTGTGCTTCTGTTTCCACTTCTGAATCGCTTTGAGAGTAATTAAGTTCAGTTTGGTCTACAATAGAACAAAATGCAAACAATTTTGTTGATATAATAATGTGAGATCAAACATAGAAAATAATACCTACTATATACCTCATACATAGATTCTAGGCATCTGATTGGTTATGAAGCGGGCAGTAGGAAGTACTATTCCACTGAAAAAAGTACTACTTCTCTAAAAAATAGTACTAGACACACTCTTTGATCGCCGAGCTAGTAGGGCTAGACCCTAGTTCAGCTAAGCTAGGCTCGAAAGTAAGTACTTTTTTAGGCCTCGCAGGCATGAGGGAATTTCATATTTTTTTACTTGTCCTGAAGACAATTTTACTTGTCCCAATATTATTGCGCAATAACCATAAAAAATAACACAAAAGTAAAGTATTTTTACTATGGCCCTACAACATTAAAAGGCCTACATGCATACTGCATTGATCACGCAAAAATGTTTTTCTTTCATTCTTTAAATTGCAAGAATTAAAATGACAACTACAAGTGAAAATTTCTCAGGCATGGTTGATTCCCACAATACACAAGTTCTCAGCCACACGCTGACCGGACAGTGTTTTATGACGTTATCTTATTTTTTGTTAATTTTTTTTGGGGGGGGGGTTGGACATACCGTATGTTTGTACCCGTTTGCAGATCTTAATCAATTCTAATACTAATTTCAAATATATTTTATTTTTTGTTTTTTTGCGGAGGATACAAAAAAAAAAACTAATTCAAATTGCATGGGAATACAAGTTCAAAGTTCAAAGTAATTTTATTGTCAATAGTACAAGTAAAATTGAAATTTGGTTTCCTTGGATACACAAAAAAAACAGAAAAAAAATATCAAGAGTTAGATTCTAAAAATTTCAGGTTAAATAAAGTATCATCAGCTTAGTATAATTCTTAATTTAGTATACAAAATATAGTACGAAAATAGTTTATAAAATTCCAGTGTAAGACATTCAAGAAAATCACAATAAAAAATAATTACAATTAAAATTATTGCAGCTTAAATATCAAAAATTCAATTAAAAAATAAATTTAAAAATTATTCAATTACAAAAAATTATTATTGGAGCTATAAAATATCAAAAGTTCAATTCAAACATTATTTTACTTTACCAAAAACATAATTCCAGAGTAAGACATCAAAAAATAACATAATAAAGTTTAAAAAAAATAAATAAATTTAAAAAAATAGAAAAATTAAAAATTTTTTTTTTTCCCCCTTACCCCCATCATCAGTTCAATAAACATCTTAAGTAAGCAAAGAATAAATATGTTTATTTCCTCCTGAAATTAGCGTTAAATAAAAATATTGAGTTAGGAACAAAGGAGAATCTACATCTATTTGATTTTGTACCAACTTGCCTGAGCCTACCTGATTTGTTGAAATGGAATCTATGGTTAAGGGGGTGAGTCGTCACTTTGACAACGCTAAACAGTTTGTTTAGGGTTTCTTTCTCGTACACTTCTTCAACATTGGCAAAGTCGTTTCCAATGCCCATAATATTGCTAGCCTTTTTTATAACATAATTAATCTTATCTTTGTTACCCTTAGTTAAGCTGGCATGCCATACTATGTGGTTGCTCAAAAGTACACTCTGAATGACACTGTGAAAGAACAACTGAATGGTGTCCAGGCTGACATTGAACCTTTGCTTTGCTTTTTTTGTAACATAAGTAACTTGATTATTCCAATTTAACTTGTTATCAAGATGGACACCTAAATATTTGTGCGAGTCCACAATTTCAATGACATTCACCAACCGTAACATGGAGTTTCCTGAAATCAAAAATCAATCTTTGGTTTTACTTGCATTTAGTTTAAGGTTATTATCATTATATGACCTTTCAAAACTAATGATCATATTACGATAATTATTTTCATTATTATTGCTAATTAAGCCAGTCACAACAGTATCATCAGCATATTTAGTAATAATGCAGTTTTCAAACATGCTTCTAAATTTATTAGTATATAGTAAAAATAACAAGGGTGACAACACACAGCCTTGAGGAGCCCCCATGTTAGTGCTGAGTATACTGGACTTGGACGTCCCAACCCTAACCGACTGAGTTCTATCAGTCAGGAAACTGCCAACCCAAAGAATCAGATGCGGGTTTACCCCAAGATCAACAAGTTTGGATAACATGATGTGCGGTAAAATTGTATTAAATGCTAAAGAGAAATCAAAAAATGTAGTACGAGCATATGAGTTGGGGTGATCCAGATGGGTGTGTATAAAGTTTAGAGCAGATATTAGAGCATCATTAACTCCCGTTTTTATTTTGATAGGCAAATTGGTGTGGGTCCAATTTTTCACCACACTGGCTGATTAGTTTAGACTTAACTAAGAATTCCATGGCATGGCTGTAGTAGCTATGGGCCGGTAGTCGTTAAGGTCAACTGGTTTTGATTTTTTGAGGATGGGTGTAACCACAGAATGTTTCCAAAGATAACTCTAGAAAAAGAGATGCACAGAATAGTAAATACTTGTTTTCCTACTATCAAGCCCTCAATTTTCTGCAAAATATCCGTGGAAATCGGCACATATTTTTGAAATGCGGCAAAGGATTTCTGGGCCTAATATTTTTTGCAGGGGATATTTTACAGCCTGACACATCCTCAATTCATTTATTGCAAAATAAAAAAAACTGCTTACCTCTCAACGAAAGTCAAGCACTGTAGGCCTATATAACTCTGAGCATGGGCCGGGGGGGACGAATCCCTTCTAGAGAATCTCCAAGACGGTGACATTTTTGAGACGGGAAAATGATTCATTTATAGGCCCTAACCCTCAATTTTTAACTTCAGTTTTACAAGATTTGGATTTTATATGCACATTATCATCATCACTTAGTGATTTTTAATTACTTTAACAACTTTAAATCCCAATTTAACTACCCTTTCTTAGTCGGTCTAGGTTGCCTTCCCCACACGCGCAAACAAAATAGACTAGGTCTATTTTGAAGTCGGCCTAATGGCTGCTGTTCATATTCGTACTCAAAAATAATTACTAGTCTTGAAGTCCAGACACTTCATGTCGTCCAACTCAACTTATCAACTAACACAAATACAAATACTCTTTAATAGCAATCTGCAAATTACAAGTGATAAATTACAAATTGATGTTTACAAAAATAGATATATAAAACTAGATAGAAATATATATATATATATATAAAGAAAAATATTATATAAAAATTATTCTTATTATTATAATTATTTTTTAGTTATTTATTTATTTTTTTTTTTTTTGAAAAAAATCTCGGGAAAGAAAGAAAAACAGAAACTCATCTTATCAACAATAAAAACACGAAAAATATTATATTATAGTTAATATTATTATTAAAATTATTTAACTAATGGCTGTGCGCCCAAAATCTTGGTATATGTCTGGTATTTTTAGACTACACCAGTGCAAATTTATATTGTAAACAGACCACGTGCAGCAGGCCCAGGCGGCTGACGGCTTACAGGTACGATATCGTGGGAAAATATGTAGGTCTGCTGTAGGTCTAATGTGTTAACATACAACAGATCTGGCTAACATTTAACGATTAAGAATTAATTTTCAATCTTTACTGCAGAAAATAAATTTTATTTTCAGTAGGCATACATTTTTTCTTTTAAACTGTCAATGTTGGTGACTCTAAATTGATAAACACTGTGCTGTGCGTAACCATGGCATAGTCGGTTTTCTGTTTGATCTCTCTTTGTGCGCCGACAAGTTGAAAGCATTACGCATTACATGGTGAAGTAGCCTATTCTAAAAGTGCTTCTCCACGGACAAGTATTCCCTAAAATTCTTGTCCGACCGTAAAAAAACACTCGTCCCGGGTATCGTGTAAGTGGGTTCGCTCATGCCAGTGCCTCGTAGAATCTATGTATGAGGTATATAAAACAAATATTGACTGCTCTAGATTCGGGAAACGGTGAAATCTATTCAGTCAATATTTGTATACTTCTTAATACTTCTATAAAGTGCAGAAATAATAGTTTCAGATTTCATTTCATTTACCTATGCATTAGGATAATAAAACTCATACATAAAAGAATTTACAGTATACTGTATATATAAAGAAAATTCCAACCACAAGGACTGGATTGTTAAAAAGTAAACTGGTCAACTGTCAAATGGCTTCTGAGTCTGGCAGGAATATAAAATATAATTAGGGCAAAATGCTATATATAAAATGAATAAATCACTGAAACTAAAATGAAATCACTTTACAAATGTGTTGACATAAAATCTGAATAAAGTACAAATGAAATTGCTAAATTTGCCATTTGTACCGTAGATCAAAGAGTATAGAAAATAGCATATATCTAGTTTAACGAAAGTTCAAGAAAAACACACTGGAAGATGCGTAAATCTTAATTTGTAATATCTCGTAATCTCTGAAAACCTTTCTGAGGTCGGTGAAGACTACACAATTTTACATGAGTCTTTACCAGGACTGTTGCTTTCACACGCAGCAATCCTTGTTACATCATGTAACAACTTGTTACATTTGGGAAAATGTGTGCATGTGAATTGGGTATAAGAATTAGGAAATATATCTTCTTGCGTATGACATACAGCATCATAGTTTTTGTTATTTTATATTATAACAATTTTCCTACTACAAAAATAAATACATCCTATAGATTATAACTTTACCTTTTTTTTGTTTCGTTTGATCTAGTTTGTTTACTACAGTACTATTCTTTGTCTGTTTACTTATTGCAATGTTTGAGGGGTTGACTGCGATTAACAGGAATGCTGCTCGCTCTATCACACATTTACAGGCTTCAGAGAAGTAACAGTGTTCATTGGTTTCCCTGTCTTCCAAATGCGGCTCCTCCTTGTGAACCTCTAAGGACAATGCCTGTTGCCTTGCTACGATTGATTCTATCAATTTCAGGAGAAAATTACACAAATCAACAATGATGTAGCATGGATTAATGCTCTTTTGGAACAGAAGGTTCTACTACTTAAAAGAACAATGGGATAAGATGGTTTATCCAGCTAATTTACAAAAAAAGACTTTTCAGGCATATGATTCGTTGAGCCTGTTAAAAAGCCATCTTGCATTTCAAAGTTTATTTAAAATACTTTTTTTCTTAATTTATTATTTATAAATAACACTGTATTCTATGGTTGGATATTATGTAATCCAAGCATTGAGAACAATACAACAAAACAATTGTGTATATGTAGAAGCATGTGGGGCAGCTGTAAGTTTGTGGGTTAGATCAAAAGACCAGTCACAATACTTGTTAACCTGTTTCTAATTAAGTTTATCAAGCAACACATTCAATTTGTCCCCAGAAGGTAGAGGTTGTTATGGTTGTCATCTGCACAATTCTCAATGTGATTTCCATGGGTTTTTAGATGTTATTCCTTATAATTCTAAGTTCAATTATTCAAAATGTTATGTAATAATTTTTTAGTGTAGAAAAACAAAAAAACAAACAATGCATTGTACTCACTGAACATTTGTTTGATTTGAAGTTGCCCTTTTGAACTTGACCTGCCATCATCCCTATCATGAACATCTTCACAGGCTTCAGCGGAACTGCCTGCTGCCTCCGGCTTTGATATCTTCCTTCTGTACAATGGCTCTATCTTATGTGTCCTAGTTGTGACAAGAATTCTACGGACTTTGTAAACGGTCCGATACACCTCCACTAGGGCGTTGGAAGGAGCATGCCTGCTGTACATGATCATGAAATGCAAGAAAAATTACTACTTTCATATTATTAATGACCCATTGAGCACATTATACTACACATGAAGAAAATTAATTTCTACAGAATTCAAAAATATACATATAATAAATCTTGGCTCCATTGTCTAATTGGTAAGGGCCGGTTACCAAATAAGTATACCACATTTGCCTCATAGCTCAGTTGGTATAGCAAATCAATCAGAGGTCAGGGCTCAATCTAAGAAGATACAACTTGATCTCATAGCTCAGTTGGTAGAGCAAGTCAAACAGAGGTCAAGGGTTATTCAAGAAGATACAACTTGGCCTCATAGTAGTACAGGGGCTTATGTAGCAAAATAGGCTCGAGTTTGCAATTCATGTTAATTTATGGCAACAATGTTTTTCCGACTCAGAATTTTATACTGAACAAGAAAAACGTTGGTGCCAATTTTTTCGGGAAGGTTAACTGGCCGCCATCTTGGAAAACAAGATGGCGGCCGCATCTGGTCAAACATAGTATTATGTGGTATCATTAGAAAGAAAATCATGCACTGGATATTTTTTCCCATTACACTAATATGAAAAAATGTATAGAAACGGAGATATTCGCCATTAAACACATCATTGTCTGCTGCCCTCTATTGCTGAAAATTTCATTTTTATTGTTTCTAGGAAGTTGGCTGGTTTTCTTGGTTCTAATACAGATATTTTGTAGAGTCTTATGTTTGTAACTAATTTGATACATTGATAAACAAATTTCATATGTATTCATGGGTATTTTTTTTTATTAAACAATGTAAATATCCATTCCATATCATTTGTTCATTGCAGTGACAGTTTCCTATCAATATATTTGTTTAAGCTGCAATATCCTGGTATTTTCCAGTCTCTGCAAAAACAAAATCGTTAAGCAGACCGCTTGATTATCAGAGTAATTGTAAATACCATATCATACCATATTTATTGGAATATATACCCAGGGACTTTCATTGTTAAGAATGGTTTTGAGGGGACGTTTATTTTAGGGAGACGTTTATTATTATTATTTTTTTCTTTTGGTGTGAATTTGATGCGTATATACTCAAAATATATGCCCTTAAATTTCACTACAACACGTAATTACTATCGTAATGAAAGGAAAAAATGTAATTCAACTGGAGTGAAAATCAATAGAATCTGTTGACAATGATGTTGCTTTGTTTACTGTCATTTGGTTGGGTGGGGAGTTGATTATTTGAGGAAAAAAGTAAGGCGTTTATTCAAAATGAGGCTTTAGAGGCGATGTTTATTCAGATAAATATGATAACAGATTTATCTATGGTTAAAACTTTTTACTATCCCTATGTAGAAGTTTTGAAAAATGAGAATATCTCACACCAGAAACCATCTCGGTACTTGTGAATCCGGATTTTGGGGGTCACAACAAAAAAGGTGACAATTTCTTGATATTGACCATAAGTCTAAATAATAATTGTAGATTATGGATTTACCTACAGTAATAACAGGCACATTTCATTTTAATAATTAAAGTTCTCTGCTCTATCTATTTCTGTCTAATTTTCAATCAAATCAAAGGATGATGAAATAACAGCCTTCATGCATCTTGGTACGACAGGCACAATTTCGCAGGAACAATATCGTTTGGCAAACCTAGCTGAAACAACTCTCCGAATCTGAAAAAAAAAATCTGCCTACAAAAAGCGGGCACCTATCGTAATACATGGTTCCAAGTTGGAAGAGGTTATTTCCGGGAGATCTGCAGTGACGGGTCTAAGGGGCAGGGAGGGACTTTCATTGATGGAGGGTGTGAACCACATCAGCCCCACCATGGTTGGAGCTAAAGAAAATATTTATGATTGTGACACGTTTAGATGGCCGGAAATGGCCCTCTCAGACATAAATTTGAATATAAATTTCATTTCTACCCCCTTTTTTTTATATTTAGGAGGCCCGGCCGGCTTTCCTCCTCCCTGTACTGTACTACTGATCTGATTTCTTAATACATTTCTTTATATTTTGCTACACATAGTGATAACCACCGGCACTGACTGCCTTAGAAAATTGATAATAAAGCAGTGAAAACATGCAAAATTATCAATTTGCGGAGATTCTTGCTTGTTTGCAGGAGTGCGGGAGACTGTCTTGATTTCCCGGAGACTCTTGGCTTGTGAGTTCCGGAAGACTTGGGACCCCTACAATGTCAATGTTTCTGTCGGGGTAACTTGCAATTGATAATACTTTCTTGTTGCTTAAAACCACCTAGTATAGAGGAAACTGAGATGTGCTGGACACTAGGGTTTTTATAAAATAGTATTAGATCACTCCATTTGTATTATCATCTGAGGTCCATACTAATTTCTTTTACTATAGCTCTCAAAATTAGGCTGTCATGATTCAGCTCACTTATTTTTTTTCTTTACTGTCAATTATGTAATATTATTTTAGCCTCGACTCAGAATGATGATGTTGGACAGGGAATTATTTACCCACTTTTAATTTTTTATAAGAAGTGCCTATTATTATGTGAATTCATTATCTATAATCAGACATTATTATAATTTGATGCGATTTGTTTCGAAATTCTCACAGGTAAACAAAGTATATACAAAAAAACCCAAAAAAACCCCAACAATTAGAGAATTTCAGAATAACCCTTAAAGCATTTCTGCTTGTTTCCGAAATGGTCCCATTGAAATAATAATAAATAACGCTAAAATGACAAAATACAAAAAAAAAGGCCTTATCCAAAGCTCTCAGTATCAAAAACATTTCATGTCACCTTATGTTTTTCTGCCAAATGATTTTGTTTAACCCTAAACTCAGAAGTACCAGGATGGTGTGCGGCGGGGATAGTTTCACCTATTAAAACTTGGATTGTAGATAACAGGCTATATTATGATTATCACTTTTTTTATGAAAATCGCTCCCAGTCAAGCAATTTAATTTTATGTTCCTTTTTGTTTTCTGCTAAATGATTTTGTTTTTGCCCCCAGAAATTATAGCAGTCTCAGAAATACCGCTATGGTGTCTGAAGGGTAATAGTTTCATCCTTTAGTAAGAATATGTAATTATTGTATCTATATTATGTAATTGCGGCTGTTGGGTGTTGATGTGTACTTAAAAAAATATATCAGGAAACTCTCAATCTCAATACAATAAAGGTTATACGTCAACAAAAATGATGATTTTCAATTTTTTTAATGAAAAAAATAATAAGCATGAATAAAAATGTTTTTGTTATCAGTGTATCAGTCCAGTTACAAACACGAATCTACAAATTATCGGTATTAGAACTGAGAAATCAGGTAAATTTGAACAAAGAACTACAAAAATGAAATTTTCACCAAGAGAGGGCAGCAGATAATGACATGTTTAATGTTTACTATTCATTTTTTTATATTAGTGTAATGGGAAAAATATTCAGTGCATTATTTCCTTTCCAATGATACCAAATAATGATATGTTTGACTAGATATGTCCGCCATCTTGTTTTTCAAGATGGCGGCCACTTAACCTTCTCGAAAAAATTGGCACCAACATTTTTCTTGTTCAGCATAAAATTCTGAGTCGGAAAAGCGTTGTTGCCATTAATTAACATGAATTGGTATAGGTCAAGGGTTATTCAAAGAAGATACAACTTGGCGGCATGAGCTCAGTTGGTATACCAACCACACAGAGGTCAGGGTTTACAAGAAGATACAACTTGGCCTCACAGCTCAGTTGGTAGAGCAAAACAAACAGAGGTCAGGTGTTATTTAAGAAGATACAATTTGGCCTAATGAGCTCAGTTGGTATATCAAATAAGCAGAGGTCAAGGGTTATTCAAAGACGACACAAGTTGGCCGCATGAGCTCAGTTGTTATACCAAGCAAACAATGGTCAGGAGTTATATTCAATGAACTACTGTACTAAATTATCAACATAGCTTAGTTGCATAAAAATAAAATAAAAAATAATTTGTTGTTTTTGTATTCAAAGATGAACTGAATACCTTGTGGGTGAGTCAAGCAACGGCAGCTGACAATGCTTGAGGAGACACGCTAGCAGACATTGTGATGCTCGGTCTAACAGAGCATGCTCAAGATTCTCGCCCTCACTACAGTCCCAATCTGAAAGCAAATCAAGCAGTATACTCAGTGTGAAGTGTTCAGAATAAAGAATGAACATTCAGCGAAGACCAACACATTGCGCATTACAACATGTACATACAGTACTACAGGTCTCCAATTAAAGACCACTTTTGGAACCTGCAGTTTCCATGGTCTTTAGCAGCTTTGGTCTGTAATTAGAATAATAAAGATAAACGACATTTGTTAAAATGGGAACACAGAAAAGTGGTCTTTAATTGTGTTGAAGACAAGCCAAAACAGTCACTACTCACAAATCGTGTTTCGGGGACATGTTGGAATGTCAACATTTTATAAATATATTTTATTGCACTAAACTAAAATTTACATATCTATACATTATGCTATGTTGTTATTTTCCCAACTTTCGAGATGTTCTCTACCTGAGAAATGGCTGAAAACATAAACTTTGAAGGCTGATATCTCAAACAGCTGTACGTTTAAACTACTCTAATTTAATAAACAAAATACCATTTTATAACTTTCATTTTACTGCTTAACTTTGTATAAATAACTAAAAACTGACTGGAGTGGTCATTAATTAGAGGGAGACCTGTATTTAAAAATGTACAAAATTCACTTGACCAATAGTAGCAATAACTCTACAATAAGAAGTCTAAACTCTCTGCTGTGAAGGAAAACTACTTACCTTTGGATTTAGCATATTCCTCCATCGCAGCAAACACCCTGTTGCCAGGTTCCCTGTTCTTACCGACAGCCATGTAAAGTAATTTCACTAAATCTGTGGACACCTCAAATTCAGATAGATCATAATCGTCATCACCACTTATTATTGCTTCACAAACATTATTTACAATTTTATCTGTGAATGAATTAACAATGTATATTAATACCATGTTGGTATATATTAATATGTAACTGATCAAAAGTACTAGTATAACAATATTATATTTTAAAGCAGATAGATAACCCAAACATTTAGTATAGATTTATTTGTTGTTAAGAAGTAGAACAGTGTTATTTTACTTGTGTTTAAACCAACTTGGTGTATAAATTTACCAATAATAATATAAGGCTTCTATATAGCTCCAGTGGTAGCTAAAGAAATTTGCCAACAGCGGAACTAACATGTCCGAGAGTGGTCTGAACCAAGGGCCGGAATAAGAGCCTAGTCAGGGTCCCGGAATAAAAATCCCTGATAGTGTTCATGGGGAGAGTCTTTATGGCTTAGCATGGCCCAAATTTTATTTCTAGACCATAATAATAACTAGAGATACTATGTTCAATAGAACATGAACCCAGTCATTTTTTAAGAGATAACCACTGTGACCTTTAACCTCAACCTGTGAAGATCCCATGTTTGGTAGGAGTCTGTCTAATGCAACTAGTCCAATCGTTAGTCACTAGCAATATTTGATAATTCAAAAAGAAAGAAAGAAGAAACTGCTCGGAAACAGAACCCAGTCAGCATGCTGCTGACTGGGTAAAGAAAGAAGAAACTGCTCGGAAACAAAACCCAGTCAGCATGCTGCTGACTGGGTAAAGAAAGAAGAAACTGCTCGGAAACAGAACCCAGTCAGCATGCTGCTGACTGGGTAAAGAAGAAACTGCTCGGAAACAGAACCCAGTCAGCGTGCTGCTGACTGGGTAAGGACTAGCAATCAAAATCATGTTATTTGGAAAGGCAAATTATTTTTGGTCAAATTCCCTCCCTGCTTTCCCGCAGGTGCCACCACTGTATAGCTCACAAATCCACTGCAAACATTGCTTAAGTCAATCAAATTTTACCTAGTTCTTTATTAGTGGATGATTCTAAGCCAGCTGAGAACAATTGCTTTTTGAGCCAAGTTTCTGTTTTCCTTTCCTCCTTGGAAGCTGGCATCCAGACCAGCATCCCTCCTAGACATCGTCCAATCACTAGGCTGCATGTACGTTCTAAATCCACAAGCCACACCCATGATTTAAATGGCTGCTGAACTAAGGCACTCGTACTGTTACCTATAACAACAAATAGGATGTTAATTGTACTGTAGTATATAAATTACATTGAAACACAGAATATCTATAATCTGAAAGTTAAGCTACACCATGGCACATTCGACATTCCTGACATTACCTTGTATGGGCCATTCCAATTCCTGCTCTTCCAAAACTGAAGCTGCCGGTAATGACCTATTTAAATGGTCCAGCTCAGGCAGTAGGCACAGTAGATGGATCAGCAGAGGACGGGTTACGGTCACAGGGAGTAAGAGCAGAGAGTGGAGTATCAGTGATAGCATTGCCCCAGCAGCAGAATTAAAGAGAACATCTTGTAACTTCTCCCGGAGCGCATATGACACCTGGCCGTGGTTCTGTTGCAGTAAAGCTATAGATCGTTGCAGAACCTCAACAGCATGTGGCAGTAGAAGGGACAAGTGCTGCTGAAGGAGCCCGACACAAGATGCTATCTATAAAGCATAATCAAGTTTAGTTTAATAAACATTTTCTAGTTAATCTAAAATGTCAACAAAATTGTAATCTAATGGAAAAAACAACAATTACTGGCAGGCATGAGGGAATTTTATATTTTTTCACTTCTCCCCGGACAAGTACCCTTGAAAAATGCACTTGTCCTGAAGACAATTTTACTTGTCCCAATATTATTGCGCAATAATCATAAAAAATAACACAAAACAAAAGTATTTTTGCAGTGGACCTGCAACATTAATAGGCCACATGCATACTGCATTGATCACGCAAAATGTTTTTCTTTCTTTTTGTAATTTGCAAGAATATCAATAATGTATAATATGGAAAAATTCAAAATAAACATTATTAATAATATTCTATGTTTGTAAGAGTGTGTTGATTGTTGCTTAAAAGTGCTTTGCGTACTTAAAAGCCATCATCATGACAACTGAGAGTAAATATTTCTCAGGCATGGTTGATTCCCACGATACACAAGTTCTCAGCCACACGCTTACAGGACTGTGTTTTATGACATTATTTTAGGGAGGAGGGTGGCCATATTGTGTATCCGTTTGCAGATCTTAATCAATTCTAATACTAACATCAAATGTATGTTTTTTTTTTTGGTTTTTTTTTGAGGATACAAAAAAAACTAACACAAATTGCACGGGAAAACCTCTAGAAAAATAGATGCACAGAATCGTAAATAATTGTGTTCCTACTATCAAGGCCTCAATTTGCTGCAAAATATCCGTGGAAATTGGCTCATATATTTTCAAAATGTGGCAACAGATTTCTGGGCCTAATATTTTATGCAGGGAATATTTTACAGCCTGACACATCCTCATTTCATTTATTGCAAAATAAATAAAATTGCTTACCTCTCAATGAAAGAGAAGCACTGTAGGCATAACTCTGAGCATGGGCCAAGGGGACGATTCCCTTCTAGAGAATCTCCGACACGGAGAAACTTTTGAGACGGGAAAATGATTCATATATAGGCCATAAAACCCTCAATTTTTAACTCCAGTTTTACAAGATTTGAGTTTTATATGCACATTATCTCTATCACTTAGCAATGAACAATTTAAATCCCAATTTAACTACCCTTTCTTAACCTGTCTAGATTGCCTTCCCCACACGCGAAAATGAAATATACTAGGCCTTTTTCAAAGACGGCCTAATGGCTGCTGTTCATATTCTTACTTGAAAGTAATTACTAGTCTTGAAGTCCAGACATTTTGTCGTCCAACTCAACTAATCATCTAATAGCTCTATGTCCGAAGTCTTTAAATATGTCTGACCAGACTAGACCAGTGCAATTTATATTGTAAACAGACTACGTGCAGCAGGCCCAGATGGCTGACGGCTAACAAGGTATCGTGCGAAAATATGTACCTGCTGTAGGTCTAATGTGTACACATACGACAGATCTGGCTAAAATTTAACAATTAAGAGTTCATTTTCAATCTTTACTGCAGAAAATAACAAATTTTATATTGAATAAGCCTATACATTTTTTCTTCTAAACCGTCAATAAATCGCGGGAGTGTTGGGACTCTGAACTTGATGCACGCAGTGCATTGCGTAACTATGGCATAGTCAGAATTCTGTTTGATATCTCTTTGTGCGCCAACAATTTGTCAATAAAATATGTAATGCATTGTCAGGATTCAGACTTTTTATAAGTACTTATAATTACATGGTGAAGTAGCCTATTCTAAAAGTGCTTAAAATTCTTGTTGTCAGACCGTAAAAAACACTTGTCCCAGGCGTCGGGCAAGTGGGTTTGATCATGCCTGTACAGGTAGAGATATATTTGTGTTTTTTTTATCTAAGCACAATCCAAATATAATGCCATTTTGTTATATTGTTTTGCTAATGAGACTATTAGGGAAGAATCTAAACCAAATTGCTAAAATAAAATCAGACATAAAAGTTATTGGTTGTTAGTGTATATGTTACAAATTCATACTTCACAAAATTGTTATTTATCCACTAAGCAAATATATTACAGAGAGTAGATCCGATCAATCAGTTAACAGTCATAAATACACAACTATAGATATATTAACTCTTTCCTGTTAATGTAATTCTTACTTTCAACAATTTAAATCATGTATAGTAATTTCTGTTTATTGTACATACACAGTACCTTTTGTTGTTAGGAAGCACAACAGTGTTATTTTACTTTAACAAACTTAATTGTACATATCTCAAATAAGAAACACAAATTTCATATTGTTACATAAATGTGATTAAATCAAACCTTGACATTTTAATTTTAAGATACGATAAAATTGATTCAACATACAGTACCTCCTCGCCTGTGCTGGTGTAGCAGTAGGCTAACAGGTGTTTTTGGAGGGAAGACAGTAGTTCTCTCAGGTGCGATGGAGGTGCATATTCTTCATGTCGCACCTGTTTCTGGCTCTTATCACTGTTCTTTTCCAATTCACCAAAGGCTTGTTCCTAAGAAAAAAAAGTTGATTTGCTATGACAACACTGGCAACAATCACTTAAATTAGACATATCAAGAGTGAAGAAGGTAGTCTATGAATGAGATGTTACCCGCATGGACTAACAAAATGAAAATCTAGGACCAGAATTTAACTTGAAAATATCTCTCCTGCAACATGGCACTAAACAAGCAAGCTTCCTTATGCCTCTTTACTTAGGTGAATTACAGATCCAAGAACTTTGGTGGGATATTAATTTCAGGTAAGTTCTCTCCAGTGTACATTAACACTGGTTATATTTTTAATCAGCAGAGTTAACAACCTCGAAGAATTTGAATGTGTGACTGATAAAAATGTGTGTGAGTGGAGTTTAGTGGGCATACAATCGAGGAATGAAGTCACAAGGGGAGGGTATCAGAATTTTAAAATGATTTCAAAATAAGCTGCTAAATGTTTATAAAGGGCAGCTTTAACCGAGGAAAGTCAATGTTTGTGTATTTTATGTGGTCTTTTATGGAATGCATGATAAATTCATGATCACAATAGATTGTTTTCATTGAAAATGACTCTGAAATGTGGGACTGTTCCATACAATGTGAGATGGTTAGTAATGATGAACCAGGTGGGTATACATCATTGTTGTGATGATGATCATCTTTAACATATTTAAAGTAGAATTAACGTAATTAAATCATCATAACATTATCAGTATTATCAGAATCATGCCGATTCTTACTGTATGATAGCCAACATTTCTTAACAGCGTTTTCATCAGAACTTCAGCTAAATGTGTGTCCTGACCCTCCATCAACTTGTAGGAGGCGTCGGTATTAAAGGCGGCATCACCATCTATGTCAGTCGGACATGTGAAACCAAGTAACGATGCCACATGGATGTTTTCCTGAAGACTGGTTAATATAATACCAAGTTGCATTCTCTGTCAGTGGGCAAATATAAAACAACAAATGTATAAACAGTAGTTTATTGTATCATAAAATAGTAATTGGAAAAAGTACATTTGAAACTTGTTTCAGTGAACTGATGAATATTTCTGGTAATAATAATAGTTTGACTTATATAGTACTGTACACCAGAGTCTCAAAGCGCTCATAGCGTGGACTAGCTCGTACAGTATCTTCCTTCTCCCCTAAGGGTTTCTTTGTGTCTGAGCTACCCAGTAAACCGGTGCCAGCTACTCCTGTCTGTATGGACCAGTACACCACGGTAACCCCCTACTTATCTTAAAATATGTACTGGGTTCTTTATAGTTCACATGAGCCAATTGTGTACACTGGGCCTATGGTTTATAGTCCTTATCCGAGAAGACTTGTTCCACCTCTAGAAACATAGGTAAGCATGCCTTTCGCACCAGCGCCTTAACCACTCGGCCATTCAACTTGCCATGTGGATAACACGGTGTGGTAAACACATGCAAACATTTTGAATTTTCAGGAGATGGATCAGTTTTCTGATGCTAATAGCTCACGCTAGGGTCAAATTTTCTTTCGCCAAAATGGCAATAAGGTTTTTAATTTTTTTAAGCAAATGCTTTAGCCAAATTTAAAAACCAATATAGTCTTATTCATTTGTAACCAGTCGTAAAGGCAGTAACAATATTGATGATTGCACAAACAAAACAAAAATCGTTTACGATATGTGGGACTGGCGGCTACCAGACCTGCTCTAGGTCTAGTGCTACACCAGGCCATAGCTAGGCCCTAATTAATTACGTGGGAGTATACTGTTACAAGAGAGTGGCTCACTTTTTGGTGCATTAACAAGCAACTGCGGTTTCAAGTACTGTACCGTACAGTGGTCCCTACCTGTTGTTTTGCTCTACAGCACAGCAAATGCAATTATCAATAAAATTGATGCTTTTGACATGCATTTTCGGTCTTAATCAATTTTTCTAAACATTAAACATTTTCATCGTCATAATGACCTTTGCTGAGGGTCGAAGACCGCGCCTCCGAAACCATGCACGCCACTTGGTTATTTTATTTTTTTCAGGGCCAGGGTAGTGGTGTGCAAACATGTGCATCAACTGGGATGACATCAGATCGCCCAAAGTTTCATAGTGCATGACAGGAAGAAGCTCAGTGTAATAAACGATCGTTTAAACAAATAAAGAAACCCTAAATAAATCTAAAAAATTTAAATTTTATTCTCTACAAATTTCCTCCATAATTAAAATAGCAACATGAGTGAGCCTATGTGTTTGACGAATCTAACAACATCCGAATCCGAATTAAATATCTACTGAAAAGAATTACCCGCAGAAACATGCTTCGAGTATTGTCTGGACTAGTGGAAGGTTAACTTTCAGTTTATGTAACATTAACATTAACTGGCATGTCATTTTAATCAATTTATTATAATCTCTATGATGGCATGCCATGACAGTTCGTTTTCACAGCATCTGGTAGGCCTATGCTTGTTGTTTTGTTACTTATTACAATGTTTACAAAATTGATTGTCTGGTTTTAGAGGTTTATTTATAATAATAATACGTTGAGAAGGATTCGGATTTTCGGAATACATGTATTATCTTAAGTAGTATAATAACTAGGTTTTGCATAACAAACTCGCTGAAGAAATATAATTTTAGCATTCTAATTAGCATGGGAACAATAGTTTTAGCGCAACGGCAGCGGAAGCGGGGGGCCTGCCCCCCCCACTTTTCTGACAAATATTTACGAACACTGCAATATCATTATTGTCATTATTATTATTATTATTATTAGTATTATCATCATTATTGTTATTATTATTATTGGTGATTAGACACCTTGTTTATTTGCGTCTTATAAATTGACCTATTATTATCATTATAAAATATATATATATTTTTTTTCATTTTCTAATGAGCATTACAAGTTCCCTTTTTGAGTTGAGCAACCAAATGAGGCCTGTCGTGGCAAAATGGTTAAGTTGTCGCACAGGCCAGTATTGAGTAAATGATCTTTAAAATATGGGAGTTCAAAAAATTGCCAAAAAATCCAAATTTGTTTTTCACTACAAATCAACAGTATATTGTCTTGTTAATCATGTCCCAAAGTATTAGTTCTGAAAGTGGTCAACAAATCATTTATTTAATGTTATTATGATAGTTAATTCTATTAAACAATGTATACCACAATTAACTTTGAAAGGCAATTACTCAAAATCATGTTTATCTTGACTCTAAGAGTGCTGTACTTTCACTTTCCAATAACTTAGGCTTGAAATGTCCAATTCCAATGAATGACCCCTCATTTTAAAGATCAAATACTCGGGTATCTGAAAATACCAATATCTTGAATTTCAATTTTTGCTACAACTTAGCCATTTTGCCACAACACGCCTCAAATGTTGATGATGTCTGTATACGCGCGTCTGTAAAGTTTCCTTGAAACCCACCCTCAAGCATGAAGAAAAAATCGCCTGCCTTCGTGAATTCTGTATTTAGGCATATGGGGCGAGGTAGGCACTCTTTAATGGAGCGACGCTCTAGTTCTCTTTATGCTAACTACGCTCGCATATTGGACTTTATGAAATGGCCCCCACCCCACTTTCAAAAACGTTCCGCAGCCGTTGTTTTAGTGTGTCAAGTGCATGCTGGCAATGATCGCAGTGTTTGCTTCAAAACTGCCCATGCATGTCCATATGCATGCCCAGAACAATCTATCTATCTGGGATTTTTCCACATGAACTTGACAGTGTCTGTAAATCTTAGATGCAGTAAAAATGAGGTCGCTTAGCGAGGCGATCTCTCTGCTGCTCGAGACGGTAATTACTTGAGAGCCTAGACGACGATCGAATTTGTTTATGTGAAAGTTGCTTTCGCCCTTTTGGAGAACAATGCCTATATTTTCTTTGCCAAATGGTATCTCAATTCGCCATTGGCGAATTGGTGAATGGCTAGCATGAGCGTAGTTATCATCTGGGAGACTCCTGTGATTTGCATACAATTTAAAACAATTGGAATAAATTTAATAAGAATGTTTGTTTACCTGTCCTCTGGATAGACTGTCCCATCTATCTGGCCCTTGAGGTAGAAGTGTGTGAAGTAGTTCCATTCTTTCTCTAAGAGGTGGCAGTAAAAGTGGTGCTCCAATAGAAAGGGTTTCATTTACAGCCTGGAAAAAAAAACATTTTATAAAATTTCTAAAGCTCCCTTTAACCTAAATGATATAATGAATATAACAAACAAACTTTTGACTAAAGGTTAGGCATTCAAACAATGGTGTATTATTAGTAAATACGTAATCAAATAATGATGTTAATAAAAATAATTGTAGTAAACTGATAATTAATAGATGTCCCTGATGAACCCAAGAACTAAGTGTGTGGCCAAGAGGTAATCTTCCTCGTTCATGTGGTTGTCGCAACTCTCCAGGGGCTAGACAAAAAAGGAAAAATTAATCTATAATCTGTCTAAAGTTTGACACTGTCCTTTGCAACAGACATCTGCCAAAATAGATAGTAGTATAACAGTATTAATGTTGTTTAGCAATTATATAATATTATTAACAAAAGGTCATAGTGCTTTTCATTACATAGATAGGGAGTATTTTTTTCTTTGATGAACATGAATGAATGAACTACTCTGAGATTGCATTGCTCAGCAAAGATCAGGTTGATCAAATCTACTATTTCATTTGCTATGAAGGCTACACATGCTTTTGGGACATTTGCATATCTCTCACCTCTGTATTTTACTGAGGCTTGTGGAGTTAATATCCATCATTTGACTTCCCTGACCGTTTGGCGAGTTAAATGGCCGAGCTGTATGGCAGGAGCGCCGTTAACTACAGCCTTAACATCGGCACTGGTTTGAGCCGCTCCTCGCCATGGGTTCGGCTGGTAGAACCAAGTCTTTTCAGATAAGGACTTAAAATATAGGTCCAGTGTACACATCTAGCTTGTGAGCATTTTAAAGAACCCATTGCATCTTTTGGAAGTGTTACTCCAATGCTATGGTTCATTTCAGCCTCTGTTGTGGAATGATGTAAACATGTAGCTACTACAAGCGCATCTTCACAGCAGCTAGGTAGTCACGGACTACGCCCATACGCAACTCAGCACAATGACGCTGTGAGGTTAGGGTTATTCTCCTACATTTACCTCTTTACCTTTAGAGCCTACATACTCTATCTCTTTCTAATGAATTATTTCCCTTGAGTAAAAAAGGGAGGTGATATTCTTATAAAAAAAAATTGTAAAAATGGCTCACCTTTTGCACACAGTTGGGAGTATTTGAATCCATCAACCTAAAAAGTAGATGTCTAAGTGGTCTTGCTTGGTTACCAAGGATACTGGTTGCCACTCCTGCTGCCAGGGCCAATTGGAGGTGAGTGCAGAGTAACTTTAAGCATAGCATTACGAAATGATGATGCTCCCTAAAGAGGTGAAATAAAAGATATATTAATTACAAAATAAGCCTAATGTACTAATTGTTTGTAATATTAACCTAATTAAATAAAAATTATTTAAAAAGAGATATTTTACAAACAAAATTACAAACTTGTTAACCAGAGACTAATCCACATATTTCTGTGAACACTAGTACAACGTCATATGAATAATCAATGTATTATATAGGTCTAGCTGCAATACTACAATGATGATATTTTGAAAAAAAACTTTAAAAAAGACAGATGTCATATTGTTATTGTCAATAGCAATAGACTATATTTTATAATTATAAATTTATAACATTACTGTATATATTTATAACAATAATGAAAATGCTTAGGTGTAATTTTGCCCTACCTGACGTGGAAATGTACTGAATACTCAGTAAGTTTGAAAAAAATTGCGAAAAAAATCATTTATCGGGTGGGACTCGAACCCACGATCTCCAGATCACTAGCCTGGCATCATACCTCTAGACCACCGGACTTGCACCTGATGGCCAGGGTTGAATTTGAGTCCAAGTAAGCAGCGGGTACTGCAGTGTTGACAGTAATTGTTATTTTTTTCTTCTTCGCAATTGTTTTCAAACATACAGTATTCAGTACATTTCCACGTCAGGTAGGGCAAAATTACACCTATACATGTTTCTCCTGACGCAAATCCAGTTATTGTCTCTTCCATCACAATAACACTTACTATCAACACTGCAGTACCCGCTGCTTACTTGGACTCGAATTCAACCCTCGAATTCCATCACAATAACTAGGCCTATTACTATCAATAATGAAAATTATGAAGTAGTACTTCACTATACTTTAAACATTCCTTATTAAAAATCTCTTTCTGTGCCACATACTTTCAGGCTGAAGAAATAAAAATAATGAGAATATAATTAAAGATGAATGTGAATTACCTTGGAGTTGGAAATGGTACTGGTGGAAGAGTCTGATCAAATTCATTACAATACCTCTCAAGGAATGAGCGAAGGTGACTGAAAGTCACTTCTTGAAGGTCAACACAAAATGGCCGATGCCAAGCAACCACTTGTCTGAGAATACAAAAATAGACAATTTGTATATGATTCTGGAAAAGCAGAAATACAACATATTTCTTGTTACACAGTCTCAATAGGGATATTACAGTAGCTGGAGGAAGAGTTGACATCTGAACATAGGCTTAGCCAGCAAGCCGTCCGGCCGTCTTTCGGACGGCCAACAATTATTTAGGACAACCACTTTTACCGTGACGGCTTGGACAGCTTGGCCTAATCAGCTCGGTCTAGCCTTATTGGGCCTGATCTACTTTTAGCAAATTCTATATTCTTCAAATCTACATTACATTAAACTAAAGCTAAATCGTATTTACGTTTGATAAAAACAACCTCTATTGATTGAATGTACATTGTTTTCATACCAATATTCGGTGGGGATTCCCAAAAATGTAAGGGTTAACTATTGCCTACCCGGCGAAAAGTTCACTTACAACATGCGTCATGTTAAAAACATTTATACCCCGCTGGAAAATGGGACAGTTCTGAGTCGCTCACAGCACATGCATGTGGCTCTGCAAATACAATACTTGAGATTAGGTTCACCGACATTGTTGGTGTTCGTAACTCTCTGGTTATAATTAATTCATGGAAGTTAAATTTTAATAGTCAACAAAATACAGTAGGTCTAGCGCTATCTCTCGATTCGGAGGACCTAAAGTATAATTTTCACTAGACTAAGGCGAGAGGTTAAGATGCATCTGCATAGCCTAGAAACATTATGTGAATAACCGTAGCCGTGCGCAATCTATGTTCATAACTGAAATATCTTTGTTATAGCTAATTCAACACAATTCTTTTGAAGACAAAATTCCAAAATTTAAACACCTCTAAATGCTCTCTAAAGATGATAATTTTCTATTTTTCCCCCTTATGTTTGGGAGGCAGTGTGGCCCACCCATCGGCTCAGGGCCATGCCCACTGGCTTCCACTTTGGATGGCCTATTTCGTTTTTCTGGCTAAACCAATGTATCTGAAAGTGTTTTGGATAACATCGTATTCAACATTAACAAGAAATATTTCCTATAAAAAAAACGCCGCAACTTCTGTAGCTTATTATCCTATGAGTACATTTTGTTTAGCTCCTTCAACAAATAAATCTGTAACTGTATTTTCCTATAGAGCAATAAATATTGTAAAGCTTACATTATTGAAGGTATGGTGTATATATATATATATCTGGGAATAAATTTAAACAATTTCTGTATTTGGAAGTAGGCGTGTCGAAATGAAGTAGGCGTGTTCCAGAGTTGTGGTGTAGACTGAAATGTAATACTGTGCAAAACATTTGCCATATCACAAACATATTCACAAATACACACTTATACATATATATTTATAATGTAATAATTTATTTGCTAATACCTGTTAATGTTTTTAAACATATTAACAATGGCAAATATCATAGGGCTTATGTACTGGTATATTTTGGTATATTAATATTCTTTAAACTTCCTAAATTTATTCAAAACTTTACAAACATGCATTATCCATGCTTTTGTCATGGTGATCAAGTTTGGGTAAGCACTTTATATCACTATTTTGATATTAATTATTTATTCATTTAACAACATACATATTGACATAGCAAATATCATATGGGCTTATGTACTGGTATATTTTGCTGAACAATAGGCAGGTTTGAGAAACATTGATGAACATTAATTAAAGACGAGTGTCTGCAAATTTCTTTGGAAAATATGCATATACATTATTACTTTAATTTTCATAAACCAGTCATTTTTTTGTCATAAATACATTTTTTTTACGATTGATGATAAAAAAAAAAGGAGAAATAATGCAGTACCTGCGAAGCGACTGTCTCAGCTATGCTGTGCTTCGACGATAGGCTTAGCTTAGATCGGATCCGTTTAAAAGCTACTGACATGTAAACATAGTGTGGCTGCTGGCTGGCCGGGGTAATCGCTCCATACCTTCGGAGTATAGTATCAAGTTCCGGACAATAATTTCAATGTTGTAAGTATTGATTATGCTCTTCTATAATTGTAAATACATTTACTGTATGTGGTATTTGTATACTGTCCTCGATGATAATGAGTCTTTTTTTTATGCAAGTATACCCCGTGTGTGTGTGACAAAGGAATAATAGTAGTAGTAGTAGTAGGGCTAGGCCTCAGCTTACTACTACTGCAGTACATACCTTTTCTGGGCGAGCTCGGCCAAGGATGTTTAGAAATTTTTGTGTGGGTTGTGGCCTGCCAACACTGGTGCTTATAGATTTTAGCAAGTTGAAAATGTACTGCTATTCGGGCAGTTGGGTTGACGAACATAAAAACAAAAAATAGTATACCAATCATGTAGATCTAGGCCCATCTTCAGGTGTTGTGGATTTAGTAGATACTGTATATGTATGTATGGATGGGGTATAAACAAAATTCTGTAAGTAAATACATGGCACTCTACATTATGGATGTGCAATGTAGGCGAAGATTATTGATGTTGGAAATTCTTTTTACTGTCAATATCCTATCTATAAACTAAATAACTTTATTTACAATGTGTGTACTGTTATATATGCTTTATGGAGTAATAATTCAGAATAAGAGACAAGATTCAGTATATATTTTCAGTTCATATTTTATAATATTGTATAAGCTTTTAATATGATAATCATACAGTTCAGTACAGTATGCATAGTAGTTACAAGTAAGAATATTGATACTTTTTAATTTCAGACAATGGCAGTCTACTGTACGTTTTTTTATGAGATGCAGCTGTCATTGTCCAGAACCATGAAGCAGGATTTTCGACAGCTTGCAGAATTGGAACCAGAAGAGCTGAATAATCAAACTGCCATCACAGCGACCGTCCATTTACTTATTAGTGGCACCAGTATCTGATTAGGGGGATAGATGGATTATTCCCTCATTTTACATTTAGAGGATTTGGGATGAATTTCTGTCTCCAACAGGTACATATTAATGGTTTGATCTTAATGTACAATAAAGCTATAATAGTGTAACATTGATATTATTTAATAATCCAGTATTGTGTGTGCACATATCTCGTGAAATCTACTTTTTCTAGTCATGTATCAGTTTGCACTTGCCACAGCTAATTTAAAGTGAGGCGCATACAGTATTACAGTTTATAGTATTGTTAATAACTAATAGTAATAGTTTTACAGTGATTATTTCTTCACTGTTTTACAACAGTTTTATAACTGTTTAGTTCAAGTTTTGTTTTGGACTGGACACGATTGCCAGTTCGTCTGTTGCTACTGAATAAATCATCAACCATTAAGTTATATTTTGCTTTACATTCCTTTGTTGATGTCCTTTTGTATTATACATTCTTTGTTGACAGAGGTGCTGTAGTGTGTGGTGTATAGGCCTAGCCTACTTTACTCATATTGACATTTCATCCTTGAACATTGCACTTCTGAATTTGGAGCAGCATTATCTACCGTACTTCTGATATCTGGACGAACCTGATGTTACACTATACAAATCAAGGCTGTGTAGCAGCTTGAAGCTGATTACATACAGTATTCAGCCTCATTGTTATTTTACTAGTCAGAACCACTTTTACATTCATCATTATAATCCACTGTTACAAGAGTACCTTTTTGTTTAGCAAATTATTTACTTCTTCAGACAAGCAAAACTCGGGGACTGATATTATAACACTATTTTTCAAAATCGGATTTTATTTCCCCATAAATATATGCAGTACATGCCGGCTATACAGTCTATACAACAAAAACAAGTCATTTTAGGCTTTGTTTACAGTCATTGTTCTGAAAATCTGGGCTCAAAATTGACCAAATCCTCCATAGGTGATGGGAGTACCTTTGCAATGGTTTGTTGAATTCATCTGGGATCATTTGCTTTCATTTCATTTTACTTGTAAATGATACCGCTATCCATAATAATCATAACCTGTATCTCTCTAATCAACATTTGGCTACTAACACCTCTGCAGAGTGACCAGTTATCTGGGTTTTTGTTGAAGCGCTTGTGCTACCTGATGAAGAAAAACAACATTCCATATTTATGACTTATTGCATGTAATAAAGAAATTTGGTAAACTAATGTTTAATTTTTCCACCATTACATTTTGTACATCTTTTTTCAATTAGGTGGGAGGTATTGATCTGAAAAAAACATAGAACTATAAATTGAAAGAATCAGGTTTTATTTCTGTTGGTATTTGATTAACAAGGGAAAATTATATGGGGTAGTACTCAACCATAAATGAGTGATGCTTACATTGGGTTGTCTTTCTTAGTTCATCTGCAAGTCCAAGGCTGCAAGACGATTTCGTGCTTTGAAATGTGTATAGCTAATAAAAACAAATGATCAATACAATTTATTCTATATGGTTTGTAAATGGATGAAAAGAATGTATTATACAGTATCAGGGAACTGTGAAATTTCACTGTTCCCTGATTATATCTAGGCAAAACATTGAAAAACAATTAATGCTGTGGGAATCAATGGCTGGATCTTGGTAGGGATACATACAGTATTTGATAAGCAACAGCTAAAAATCCAATTGCAACTAAACACCAGAAATAAAAATGTCACGGTCACATTTTACTTTACGACAGCAATTCTAATAAGTAAAACATGTGTAATTACGTTAAAATAAGGCCTGCCTTGATATAGGCTAAGTCCTCCACCGTGCAGAAATTAGACTACTCTAGAGGACTAGCCTTGGCCTAGAGATCTGTCTGCGCATAGTTCAGAAAATGAAAAAGGGTCGATTTCCATACAAGTGTTTTAGCCCTCTTTCGAATCTAGGCCTAATCTTGTTGATGCTTAACCTACGGAAGGTTAGGTCTAAGCTTATAATATACGACGTAGATATGCGCTTGGTTCGCTTATCAATCATCCCAGCTAAGTCAATTTTTATATAGGCCTAGGACCTATCCCGCCCTACTAACTAAGATATAGGCTAGGTCTAGGCCAGAAAGAGAAGACCTACCAGATATCCATAACTGACGGAAGCAATGGCTGGATCTTGGTAGGGATACATGTTTGATAAGCAACAGCTAAAAATGCAATTGCAACTAAACACCAGAAATAAAAATGTACAAACAGTTTTATTTGACGGTCATATTTTACTTTATGACAGCAATTCTAATAAGTAAAACATATGTAATTACGTTAAAATAAGGCCTGCCTTGATATAGGCTAAGTCCTCCACCGTGCAGAAATTACATTACTCTAGAGGACTAGCCTTGGCCTAGAGATCTGTCTGCGCATAGTTCAGAAAATGAAAAAGGGTCGATTTCCATACAAGTGTTTTAGCCCTCTTTCAAATCTAGGCCTAATCTTGTTGATGCTTAACCTACGGAAGGTTAGGTCTAAGCTTATAATATACAACATAAATATGCGCTTGGTTCGCTTATCTATCATCCCAACTAAGACAATTTTTATATAGGCCTAGGTCCTATCCCGACCTACCAGATATCCATAACTATCAGCTAGCATGGAATCACCGCCTTTTCTTTCTTACTAGTGGTTAGTGGTATGCCTTGGGATACCATCAGTTATCTTGTTGTTGACTTTTTTCTTCTTTTCCTAACAGAATCTGTAAAGAGTCAATCGAGGATGACCTCGCTTCGAGCAAGCTTTCACCTAGTTGCTCCATCTTGCAACCGATACGGCTAGGCATATATCCCATGTGTTTACAAACGTCGCGTGTACAGCATGGGGGATTTCCGAATTTCCTCATACAAATAGAGGCGCATAACCAGATATCAACAAAAATTATCAATCCGCGAGTGATGCATGATGTGATTTATAGCGGGCCGCTAAAATTAATAAAATCAAGTTAATTTGTCTCTTTTTACCTGTTTATAGGTTAATACACTGTATCGCAGTACCAAATATGTGTTTTGTGTATAGTAAAGGACCCAACAACGGTAGAATACGGAAATTAACTCGTTGAAAATTTGCAGACACATGTGAGATATTTTTATACATTTGTGTTTCTTATTAATAAATGGAACAATATTCTTATCTTTAAATTCCTAAATTAATTTAAAGCTTAACAAACATACATTATCCATGCTTTTGTTATGGTGATCAACCCCACTTTGTCTAGGTTGTAATTCCATATGGTAGATTAATTAAGCTATCACCTAGACTCCAGGTTCAACCACGTTTATAACCTTCATCATCAGCTATTGTCAGTCCACTGCTGGACAAATGTTTCAGGATGTCGACGCCAAATCAATCTTTTTCTCTTACTGTGTTGTACCATTTCACTCTTCCCCAATAAATGCTCATCTCTTAATCTAGTTTATGTTGTTTTTCCCTTGTTCGTTCGGTCTGCCATCCATGGGGTCTGTTACTGTTTGTTGTTTGTACTCCTGCTGCCTACAAGTTCAACAACCAGAATGAAAACCACTAAGCCAAACCACATTTGTATTATTATTGTTATTATTATTAATAATATTAATTTTAATATTATTTTATTTATTTGTATTCATTCCCCTCCTCCACTATAGCTAGGTCTTTCTACTACTGTCGCCAGTGTGTGGCTATTTTATATGGGTCGATAAAACCTGAGTACCATACGATATCTCGACAATAGTTAGCCTAATCCTAACCCTCTTCAGCGTAAGGCACATATTTTTCGACATTAAATGTGGAATACCCTGGCTCTACTACTTGGATATGTAGTAGGCCTAGGCCCTAGGTTGTGTCGTCAGTTTCTGTGGTTATTTTTTATGAAATTGTCAATGCATAGGTCTACGTACGTAGGTAGACAATAGAGCCTAATATACTTTTTTTGAGATAATTTAATTACAATTCCCCCTAACGAACACTGATGAACTGGCTGTAAAGATAGCCAAAATACAGGCTTTCAGCCTGCTCGAGTTATATTCATACCCTCTTCGCTGGTTAGGATGATTTCTTGGTAATCATCCTCTTCGCATGCAGCCGCTATTTGGTTCGTAAGACGTCTTAACAGCCGCTATTTGGTTCGTAAGACGTCTTAACAGCCGCTATTTGGGACATCTTTTTGGTAACTGCGCATGCTCGACATGGCTTGATAACGTCGCCTACTTCCAAGTGCATGCTCACTGTGTTTTTTTTTAAATAATTCATGGATGTTATTTGGTAACTGCGCATGCGCTTTGCTTAGTTCGGAATTCCCTTTTTTCGTAGTAAAAGCTATACCACTACCTACAGTTTCTTAATGACTATTTCCTCTTGATTGTTACAGCCTAAAGGTGCGGCGCGAAAACCAGTGGTACAAGAAAATGTGGAAAAGACAGAGAAGGATAATGGGAAAGTGAGGGAGAAGGGTAGGAAGAGAGGAGAAAGAAGGGAAGTAAAGAGACAAAGAAGATAGGGAATATCAGTGAGGATAAGAAGAAGGAGGGTAATAGGAAAATTAAGGGTAGAAGGGAAGAAAATGAATGTGGGGAAGGGAAGTGATGGAAGGGGAAGGTAGAGCGAAGAAAAAGAAAAAATCGGAAAAATGAAAGTAAAATACAGAAGCACCTAAGTGCCATTCGACTTGACGACTTGTCAAGATAATTTAAGTTGTCAATACGACATAATATACATATCATGTCGACATGTCGAGATCAACTATATTGCCAAGACGACATACAATTTCAGGGCTCGATTTAGTACTAGCCCGGCGTACAATGTCTAGTAAAAACCGCTCCGGGCTAGCCTATTTACTCCTCATGTTGCCCGGTTGTCTAGTGGGGAATTAGCAAGAAAAACATTTTCTTAAAAAAAAAAAAAGCGGAACTTTCGAGACAATCCCTGCACAGTAGGTACTGCAGCCCAGAGAGTACACTCTAGCTAGCTTTCAGCTCTCCACATGCGTGAGTGTTTAATTATTAAGATGATCCCCAAGTCACTCACCAACCACTACAGGATGGCATGTTATCTTTCTCTCAATAGAAGATCGTTTGATCGTTCAATCTGGTTAATTTAGGAAGTTAGAACATTTAATTTAATGTACTACCTTATATTCATATTATTTTCTCATAATGGTATTTTTAAAATGTTCAACTTTTAATAATAAGTACTTCAATGCTATAGGTAGGCTAGGCTAGCCTAGGCCCTAGGTCTTGTCTAGGCCTAGGTAGCCTAGCCTAGGCCCTAGGTCTTGTCTAGGCCTAGGTAGCCTAGCCTAGCATAGGTAGCCTAACCTAGCCTAAGCAAGATTTGTTGCCATTGGGAATGAGTGACTTGAGACCTAAAGATTTAACAGATGCATTGGTTTGATTGATTTCTGGGCCCTTTGTTAAATATTAGAAAGCCAAAGTTATAACCAGGGAGATGTAAAACATGCTCATCTGTCCCTGTTATTAACCAGAGTCGATTTTGCAGCATGGGTGATTTTTTATTTATTTATTCAACAATATTTTGAGAGGATAGCTCAAACAGCAATACTACATAAATTATGAAATTGCAAATCAACCTTCAAATTTATTTGTCGCTAAAAAATATTTTGAAACAAAATTTTTTCCTGTCTGTGGGCTATTAAAATATTCTGTGGGCTAGTAAAATCTCTAGTAAACTAGCCCAGTGGGCAAGTTACCAAAAAAAGTTAGGGCAAGCCCTGAATTTGTATTATGTCGACTTGTCAAGATAATCTATCTCGCCATAACATAAAATTTTTACTATGTCGACTTGACAAGATAATCTATCTTGTCATGACAACATACAATTTTTATTATGTCGACTTGTCAAGATAATCTATGTCACCATGACAACATAATATTTTTACTATTTCGACTTGACAAGATAATCTATCTCGACATGGCAACATACAGTACAATTTGTATTATGTCAACTTGTCAAGATAATCTATCTCGCCAGTACAACATACAATTTTTATTATGTCGACTTGTCAAGACAACCTATCTCGCCATGACAACATAATACTTTTAGTATGTCGACTTGGCAAGATAGTTGATCTCGACATGTCGACATATGTATATTATGTCCACTTGACAACATAAATTATCTTGACAAGTCGTCAAGTCGAATGGCACTTAGGTGCTTCCATAGTAAAAGAAAGGGATGAGTAAGTAAAATTATTAACTTGATTAATTTAGCAAAAATAATTTGTTCAATGTTCTTGTTAGAAAGAATTTAAACAATTCCCTGTGTAAGAGTCTTATGAATAATTACCCCTTTACCCAAATTAGTATGGCAGAAATGTGGCAAAATACTATTGGCAAAAATAGTACTTAAAAGTGTATGTTCAAATAACGAAAATGTATGTTCCAATAAATGAACTTACCTATCAGTGGGTAGAGCTGTCCAAACAATGCTATGTGAAGTCCCTGCGGATATCTGATGGACCGTCACGCCCTCTATACCTACTACTTTTTTGGGTCGTGCAATGGGACTGGTAGTGTGGCCTTGTGCACACTGCCCCATTGCATTGTTGCCCCATGCATACACTTCATTATCTATTGAATGAGACACAAAATACTAATTATTACAAAACAGATTTATCTGCACTATTACGTGACTATGAATACTTTCCAGGGAACAGGTTGAGGAAGCAAGATACTTCTTGGATAATCACCCTCCCTACTTCTCTCTCTGTGATCTACAGTAGTTTTCAGTCTTCAAGGAATGAGGACAAACAATTTGGCGTTGGTTTCATCATGTGGTGTACTCGGTTGGATGGCTCTATTTTGTCGTGGGAGTGTTCACTTAAGAAATACTGGCAATTAGTTGGTTTATCCAGGTAAGTGTTCACAAAATAGATGCCATCTAAATCTAAATATAAATCTATGTAGATACTCATCAGTGCCTGTTCAGCATCTGGATAAGGGCAGGGGCTTGAGATGAACCATTAAACTGGGGTCACCCCTACTCGTCTCAAAAGATGTACTGGGTTCTTTATAGTGCACATGTGCCATTGTGTACACTGGGCCTACGGTTTATACTCCTTATCCATGAAGACTTGCTCCACCTCCAGAGCCATAGGCGAGCGTGCCGTTCGAACCAGCGCCGATATTATGGCTGTAGGTTACGGGCCGCTACCTTAACCGCTTGGCCATTCGACTCGCCTCGCCATAATTATCATTACCTCTGCTATAGATATTACACTCATAAAGTACTACCCAAAATCGACTACTGCACCCCTACCTATGTGAACCGTATGAAAAATGCATAATTTTATCTGCATAGATTTTAATCGATAATGTGGACAGACAATTTGCTGTTTGATATTTATGACGTGTAGTCAAACAAATACATGGTTTTATTTTGGTAAAGCAGTGAATTCTACTTCCAACCTCCCTCTGCTTTGTGTCAGGAGGTATACCCAATCATCGAACACCTCAGCTAGTAGAATTCACTACTTCACCTCAAACCATGTTGTATTTGTATAGAATACAGATACAGAATAAGGAATGAAATAAATAAAATAAAACAATACCATGACTAAGAGCCAGGCAGTGGCTATCTCCCACTGATACATCAACTATCCTGGTGGACTGCAGATCTTCAATAACCTTTGGTCGAAGGATGGTGACCTCTGATGACCCACATCCTAAAGTGGCACCATGACCCCATGCATACACCTACAAAAACACACACATAAATATGGCAAAAAATATTAACATAAATTATGAAATATATATATACACACACACACACATATATATACCTGTCTCTTATACACATCTAGATGTGTATAAGAGACAGGTTCGGAAAATTCAGACTGTTTTACTATTCTTGACTCTGCCCACAATACTTATCAACTTTGTAATGAAGGTACTTAAGATTATGAGTGAGCCCTCTATTGTATGATACATAGAGTAAGGACACATGAGCCTTAAGGCAGTTGATAACAAGATACCAATAAAGGAAGATACCAATAAAGGAACATACAAGAAAGTCAGAATAGCCTACTGTATATTATTGTCTACAACATATCATTACATGGTGTCAGAAGTAAATCAAAATGAACGGATTAAAACCATCAACTTCTCTTAAAATCACTATGGAGAACATGGCTGAAGAATGGAGAGAAAGTGGAAACAGAAGTTTGAGTTATACATTATAGCCAGCGGATTGGATAGAAAACCAAACAAGGTACAAAGTAGCACATTACTACATGTAATAGGTGAGGAAGCTTTAGAAATTTTCAACACTTCTTCATTTGCTGACAACGAAAGCAATGAAAATATTAAAGATATTTTGGAGAAATTTAGAGTTTAATTTGAACCACAGAAGAACATTAATTTGAACGACATAAATTTAATACAAGATTTCAGAAAGAAGGTGAAACTGTAGAACAGTTTATCACTGATTTGAGATGCAAAGCTAGGTCATGTGAATTTGAAACGCTCCATGACAGTCTGATAAAGGACAGGATTGTGGTCGGAATTAGAAGTGATAAGGTTAGAGATAGACTGCTTAGAGAAAGTGAACTCGCATTACAAAAGGCTATTGAAATATGTCATGCAGCTAAAGCTAGTTCAAAACAACGAGATAGCATGAAGGTAACCACAAAGAATGAAACTACTGTATCAAGTGATATAAGTACAGTAAGACATACCAAAGCAAATTTTAAGCATAAAGTAAGCTTATACAGTAAGAGTGGTATCATTAAGAATTGTAGACAATGTGGTTATGATCATGTAAGTAAAAACTGTCCAGCTTATGGAAAAACATGTAAAGCTTGTGGTAAATTAAACCATTTTGCAAACAAGTGCTTGACTAGGAATAATTGTCATCCGCAAAAGAAACCTAAGAAAAAAGTACATGTAAGTGATAGTGATGAAGAGTCAAGTAATGAATTCTTCATGGATGCTATAGAAAATGAGCATAATAAAAAAGAGTGGACAGTAAAGCTAAATGTTCATAATAAGCCTAAACAGAACATAGCTGAGTTAAAACTAGATACTGGTGCTCAATGTAATGAATTCCAGAAAAAATAATACGCGAGTTAAGTGCTAAAGCCAGTAAGACAAATGCTAGATTGATTACCTATTCAGGAGAAAGAATCAAACCAATAGGTAAAGTAACCCTTGTTTGTGAGCACAAAGATAAATATTTTGATGTGGAATTTCAGATAATAAATCAAAATGTACAGCCAGTGTTAGGACTTGAAGCTTGTCAGAGACTAGGCTTAATTAAACGTATAGAAACATTGCAGTCCAACATGTATCATGATATGATAAATAAATATGTGTTTGAAGGTTTAGGGTGTATTAAAGGTGAACAACGTTTACATGTCAAACCTGAAGTTAGACCAGTTGTACATGCACCTAGAAGTGTTCCTGTACCACTACGAAATAAAGTTAAAGCAGAGTTAAAACGAATGGGAAAACTTGGAGTAATAGTTAAACAAAATCAGCCAACACAATGGGTTAGTAGTATGGTTGTAGTAGCTAAAAAGAACAAGAATAGTGTACGTATATGTCTAGATCAAAAAGATCTTAATGAAGCATTAGAGCGTGAACACTATTCAATGAAAACTATTGAAGAAGTAGTGACAAAACTTCCAAATGCTAAAGTGTTTAGTACATTAGATGCTAGTAGTGGATATTGGCAAATACAGCTTGATAATGAAAGCTCTAAACTGTGTACTTTTAATAGTCCTAATGGAAGATATAGATATTGTAATATTACGTATTGCAGTTCGCTGTGTACTGCTCAAGTTGGTGTGCCCGATTCCAATGTATGTTCCGGATGCAAAGACTGGATCTTCACTACGATATGTAATATTGTAGTGCGAGATGGTTTACTTTAAATAACTGAACTGACTACATCTCTTCTGGTTATAATGCAAAGCTTTTATTCACACTGCGTGATATATACAATATATACAACTAAGATTGTGAGACGTAGTGTTTCCTTCAAGGTATCAGAAGGAAGTCTTCTCTGGATAACTAATACTTTACTTTTCATACAAGCTTGGGGTGTGGTAGACTTTCTCTGATTGGTTGAAAGATATAACCTTATCCTAATCATTTGACTATTACATCATTTTGGGGAGTTTCTATTGGTCAGATAATATAACAACTTTGGGGGTAGAAGTGAACACAATTTAGTAACGATCTGTTTCTCAATTGAGCTTATTTTATAAATCAAATGCAAGGAGTTGACCACTTGGGCTTTTTGTCATGAATTGGCTATTATCCTGTCAAAAACTTCATATATAATAATTAGGGAGACGTTTAACAGGTGCCCACTGAATTAGTGAGGTAATGGGGTAGTGAGGTAAAAGTTCAGTCCAATGGTTAAATTGATTTGGCCTATATTCGTAAGTTATCTTAATACTATATAACATCCCTTTCGGCTTGTTTTATTTTTTTTTTTTTTTTAACGTTACGACATAAGGTAAAATATACTACAATGCATTAATATGCATAATGTGAAGTAATACCACAATTCATTATAAAAATTAAAGCATTAAACATAAAATATAACATAGCATATAACATTGGAAAAAAGTTAAATTTGGTAGTGCAAGATGAATACATGTTAATTCCATCAAATTCTCATCTTCACTCTCTCTTTCTCTCCATTCATTTCTTTAAAAAATACAAATGAATAACATTTTTTATTTTCGAGGTTAATCAATCTAATACGCTTTGTTGTTTTGACATGTGTCTTAGTGTCATCGATGTAACATAAGATTATTTTTAAACGTCTAGTCTTGCCATATCCGACGTAATGTACGATAATATTTAAAAGTAAAATAACTTTATAAGGAGGAACTTAAATTAACTTTTATTTAACTAAACATTATTTACTTACTTATTTCCTAAAAAATCAATTGCTTCTATTACACGTAGACTGGAATTCATCTATTCGTGTTTACTAGCAATACACATATGCACTTTAACTCGTTATCGTTTAATATCACATATTTCATAATCATTTATTAGTATACATTTATCATACATTTATCCTAAGCATTTCATTACAAGTAAAATTATGTAAATTTTGATTATTTGTACCCATATGTACTTATATTCAGTATTCATTTAAACTGACGAATTTATCCTCATATTACATATGTTTCATTAAAATTGCATGGCATTAACAACTCAACAAGTAATAAGCTTGTTCATTTAGTGTTGCAATATAAGCTTGGATTATTCAATAATTCATTAATCGCTTCCTTACATTTAAATCATAAACAAAATTGTTGTATTCCTCATCATAAAATTATAAACACAATTTAAATCATTAGACAACATGTCATATAATTCGTACTTAAATCATTACACTGTGTATTCACACAATATAATTTCAAGTTCTAATATTTAAATTCAATATTCGTATCAATTTCAAGATTTCAGTATATGTTTACACGATAAATTAAATTTGGGAATAAGTAAATAAAATTCAATGTTCTCGAATTTTGAAGTGCGTTTACGAGTGGTCCAATTAGTAAGTGAACGGTTATCATCACAATTTATAATCGAAGAATTTTTCCTCTACAAGTTCAAGTCATATCAATTAAATATTTTATAATTTACAAAACTTCTGGCCAGTAAATTAATTAAATTAATAAATGAATTTATTTATATCAATTATCATTTTAGCTTTAATAACCTCAAAAATTGCCTGGCTATGTGCAATTGAAATTGGTTATACAAATTGGTATACATGTGTGATTCTGCAAAATCAACAGTCCGTTAACCTAATCTGTGCTGAATAATTGCTATATTATTGATGTTTATACTTGTGTATCTAAATCAATCAGGTATCATTAAAATGTGCATGTATTAATGTTTAACATTTTGCTATTTTGACCTTAACTTAATTGTTTGAAAAAAAAAATTGCGCACTACAAAAAAAACGTGGTTGATGTAATAAAATCAAATTAATTCCAAAAATAAGTATTAAATTAAAACTGAATTTTAATAATGGATAAAAAAATTTTTTTTTAAACTCTTTCTCACAATGATGGAATGTAACAATGTATTCAACTTACCCAATTATACGTCTGTAATCTTCACAACATTCATGCAAGTTCTTTCAAAAATAAAAATGTAATCAAAACAAAAATATAATGTTCAAAGTAAAGTTTAGTGTAATGTTCAAAAATATTCTGGAGCGTCGTCATTTCCGTCATCAGGGAGGGAAGTCCAATTAATGTCGGCTTGTCTCGAATCCTGTCATCTTTATCATCTGTCGGCTTGTCACGAATCCGATTTCGTTTCCTGTCGTTTTTTTTGTCGGTTTGTTACAAGCAGATGTGAGTGTTTCTGCTGTTCATTCTTCAGAAAAGGTATTCAGCAGGTGTTCGAGTTCCATGCATGTTCAAAAGGTTCCAATTACTATTCTGCTTTCAACTGTTGGGTGGACTTTTTTTTTTTTTTGCTTGACTCATCGTTGCATGAAAGGTACTGGATCGGTTCTGGTCATTTCACCATGTAATGTTACGTACATGTAATTCTCATGTTGTTGTGCCCGATTCCAATGTATGTTCCGGATGCAAAGACTGGATCTTCACTACAGTATGTAATATTGTAGTGCGAGATGGTTTACTTTAAATAACTGAACTGACTACATCTCTTCTGGTTATAATGCAAAGCTTTTATTCACACTGCGTGATATA